TGTGGCCATATTTTTCTATCTATTTCCAACAGCTCAAGAAAGGTGGCCGAGATGCGATTGTAAATAATGTGTTGTTAGATCTAAAAAATTCAAATACCTAGAAATATGGTTTTTATGCAGAAATATATTTCCAGAGAGTATACGATGTACTTTGCAGATACCCTATCAAGAGGTGGCCGATTTACAACGCTACCTCCTGATACGCTCTACGAGATATTGGATTGTAAAATACAACCAATTTTACTTCATGACGGAGACAGATGGGGAACTACCGACACAACATTGGAAAAGTACATACAACATTCTGCATATTTGTTTAAGGTGCAGGAATGCAAAACAGCTATTCTCTATGACTGCGACAGAAATCCATTAATAAATAATTACAAAACAAGTGTTATTTTGTTTTGGAAATTTTACTTATCACAAACATAATATCTTTATTCGAAGCAGTGCTGCAACATTTTATATTGAGTTCAATTTTTGCCTGTTTTGTGACTTTTTTTGTAAAGTGACCTGCTTTGCGACAAAGTGGCCTCATTTTGTCATAACATATTGACACCATAAGTATTTCGTGATTAGTGGCATTGGCTCTTTATATATGTTTGTAATGAATGATTTTAGTAAACGCATCAAAACCCTTTCTACATCCATATGAAATTTAAGCTAAAAGTCGAGGTACAATTCTGACTATGTTATAAGCATGTGTTTGTTTAACGCCGCGCTCAGCAATAGTATAACTGTATGTTCACTGTAAGACTCGACTGTGTGTTAATTCCATGATATTATATACTGTAATATGTTTAAGGTTATTAGGCATGCAACATGGCACTGAGATTTTGCTAATCCGAATTTTTTTCCAAGATGTAAATCCTTCTACTGGTTTCATGCCTGATTTAGAAATTAAGAAGACCAATTGAATCGCCTTGTCTGTGTCATACTTGGATCTATGCGTAAGATGAGTGAGTGAGTTTAGTTTTACGCTGCTTTTTAGCAATATTCCAGCACTATCACAGAGCGGGACACCAGAAATGGGCTTTATACATTGTACCTATGTGGGGAATCGAACCTGGGTGTTCGGCGTCACGAGCAAACACTTTAACCACTAGGCTACCCCACCGCCCCATATGTGTAAAGAGTGGCGAGATCCTATCCACGATTCTGTGACAAGATGGAAGATAGACACTCTCTGACAGTCAGCTGTCACTCTATGAAGAGCAATATTCTTGCTGCTCCCGTCTTTGGTGCCTACATTTTACAACTTTCATATAGTCGAGCATGCCCTTTTACGAAGATTCAAAAGAGCGCCATACACGTCTTGCTTAAAAAATTTCAACAGGGTTGAAATGAAAGCTATCAAAATTGTTTATGGTAGACATTTGGAGGAAATTTCCAAACTGTGTGAACATCAGGAACAGAAATAATTCCGATAGCTTTGCATGTGTTTGTGACTGGTACCACCCTGGGGGCATGATTCGCACATTATCGCGAACACCTGCTACCAAGACGACCTCAGAGAGATTCATAAACCGTTGCTTGTGATATGGCTGAGATCATACAAGGAACCCTGTTGTCAGTAGAGACTTTAGGTGATGTTTACCCTCTTCACGAACACCGGGTGTCATTTTGCTGTTTACACCGAATGAATCCTGTTCCAGCAGATGATGGCTACTGGACTTTGTAAGCCGGCTTAAAGCATATACAAATGTATCTCGTTCATGTTTATTTGAGATCTATGAAACGAACTCAGACAAAATATACCATGTCTTCCAGGGGTCTTGTCTACAAACAATACTAGTTTCAAACATCTCCGTATATAATTACGCCGCTGTTATAAAGAAATACGACACTGCCAATGTGAACTTTGTACTGAGGGCTTCACATTTCATCATAAAGGAATTCGTCTTGACATTTTAATGACGGTTGCTTTTTATACAAATCCTTCTTTGTAAGCTTGGTCTGGCCATTTATTTCGGAAGGGGTGACTAACACAGGCCCTCGTGTCTTTGCGAGGATTAATGATTAAACAAATATTGTTTTTGAGATGACCCCCGACTCGAAATGCTTCACATTACAATACATCATAATGTATTATACTGTGAAGCATTTCGAGTCGGGGGTCATCTCAAATTTTAGTATATATTTTATAAAATCTTGTCGCAAAGACACGAGGGCCTGTGGTGAATAACTCAGATACGGATTAAGTGCACAATAATATCCTCTATTCTTTAATATATACTAGCCACATAAAGAAACTGTGCATTGTCAAAATATTATCCCAGTTGATAAGTACGATAACAATGTCAAAGGGACATATTAACTTTAATGGAAGGATCATGAGACCATAACAAGTCGGGAGAATTTCAATTGAAAAGTCAATCACAATGACGTCACGAGTCCACAAGCGGGACAGGGGTCAAACGACCATGTCACAAGCTCAATAACGGGTATGTCCACCATCGGCATTGAGAACAGCAGTGCATCGACGACGCATAGAGCCTATCAAACGTGCAAGGAAGGCTTGTGGGATGTCACGCCAGATTCTCTCAAGTTCTGTTGCAAGGTCAAGGACGTTATCAAGCGGATGAGGAAGACGGCGTAGACGTCGATCTATCTGGTCCCAAACATGCTCTATCGGGGAGAGATCTGGTGAATTTGCAGGCCAAGGCAGTAAGTCAACGTTGTGGTGTTGCAAGAAATCCATAGCAACCCTTGCCGCATCTGGGCGGGCATTGTCCTGTTGGAATGTTAACCCAGGGCCATGACGTTGCAGAAAAGGAATTGCCACAGGTCGAAGAATCTGATCCCTGTAGCCCACACCAGTTAAGTTGCCCTGAACAATCACCAAAGGAGTTCTTTGGCGTGCTGTTATTCCACCCCAAATCATCACGGAACCACCACCAAAGCGATTCCTCTCCAAGACACAGGCCTGTGCATAACGTTCTCCCACGCGTCTATAGGCACGTTGACGTCCATCACTATGGGAAATGTTAAACCTGGACTCATCTGTAAAAACAACATTTCTCCACCAAAACAAGGGTCTGCGGACATGATTTCGGCACCACATTCGACGAGCTTGTCGATGACGTTGTGTCAGGATAGGCCGTATGGCGGGACGTCGTGGTCTGATCCCGTGATGACGTAAACGTTGTCGAACTGTGTTGGGGTGGATACGGCCAAGTCCTGGGATGGTTTGGGCAGTCATCACTGCAGTCTGAAACCTGTGGCGAAGATGGGTCACCCTTATCCATCTGTCCTGTCTTGGCGTTGTTACACGTGGACGTCCAGAACGTGGACGTCCAGAATTTGTGTTCAGGTAGCGTCTCACCAGTGCAGAAATGGTGTTCCAGTGCAGTGGAAATGTGCAGCCACTTGTTGTTGAGACATTCGCCACGGACCATCCCAATGGCCTCATGACGTTGTGCAGACGTGAGCCTTGGCATGCTATGCGTTTCAATAGCCGTTTAAGTTTTTGAACGATCGCAAGGGCAGGGGTTGAGCTTTCCAAAGTGACAGTATTGTGTGGCATTCATTTGCTCTGTTTCTCTTTCCCGGAATGCACGTACAACAACGTATTTCACGTCTCAAGGACGAACCCACTGACGTCGCGGAACGTGGCACGTGCATGCATGTTGGATACATGTCACTCATCTCTGACTTTAAATCCTTATGTGTCTACACAGGTTTGATAAATTTCTATTTTAAATTTTTGTATGCACAGTTTCTTTATGTGCCTAGTATACAATGAAACACCGTTGTATGTAACTTAGGCGTGTCGCAATGACGGTTGTATCGAACTTTGACGCGTCCCACTGACGGTTGTATCGAACTTTGACGCGTCGCATTGACGGTTGTATCGAACTTTGACGCGTCCCACTGACGGTTGTATCGAACTTTGACGCGTCCCATTGGCGGTTGTATCGAACTTTGACGCGTCGCACTGACGGTTGTATCGAACTTTGGCGCGTCCCACTGACGGTTGTATCGAAGTTTGGCGCGTCCCACTGACGGTTGTATCGAACTTTGACGCGTCCCACTGACGGTTGTATCGAACTTTGACGCGTCCCACTGACGGTTGTATCGAACTTTGACGCGTCCCATTGACGGTTGTATCGAACTTTGAGGCGTCGCATTGACGGTTGTATCGAACTTTGACGCGTCCCACTGACGGTTGTATCGAACTTTGACGCGTCCCATTGGCGGTTGTATCGAACTTTGAGGCGTCGCATTGACGGTTGTATCGAACTTTGACGTTATATCCACCAGTTCGTTACAAGCATTGTTCGTTAGAAACGAAGTTTATATAATATATCTGTGCAGTTTATTTAATTTTAGATGGAGCTGTTTCTGTATTAACGGGTTCCTTAGTATCACGGGGCGTTGAGGTAGCCTAGTGGATAAAGCGTTCGCTCGTCACGCCGAAGACCCGGGTTCGATTCCCCACATGGGCACAATGTGTGAAGTCCATTTCTGGTGTCCCCCGCCGTGATATTGCTGGAATATTGCTAAAAGCGGCATAAAACCATACTCACTCACTCCTTAGTGTCGAGTTCACACCGCTTATGGAACACGTTGTATTATGGATCACCTATATTAAGACTTCAACCTTTGGTTCCCTATGTCGTGTTCTCGGCATCAGGGTATCTGTATCAGGTCATCGTCATAAGGTCTTCTGTGTCAGGTCCTTACATTAGGTCTTCTGTGAGAGTCATTTTCATTAGATCCTCTTTGTGAGGTCCTCTGTATGTGTCAAAACCTCTCAAATGTCTTCATCCTCAGAACGTCTGTGTTAGGCCCTCCATTAGCCTTGCTCCGAGGCTGTATTGAATGCTGAGTCCATGGATGTATAGTAATTCTATCCTCCGTGTCGCAAGTTTAGGTAAGCGGACAGTACACCTCAGTCTGTTATTATCATTTTATAGAAATTATCATTTAAACTATTAATTTTAACCTTAAATACTTGTGCAAATTCAAGCCCTCTATGTGAGGACATTTGTGTCAGATTATGTGTGTTGGGCCCTCTGCGTGTGGTCCTCTGTGTGAGACTCTATGTGTTGGGTCCTCTGCGTGTGGTCCTCTGTGTGAGACTCTATGTGCTGGGTTCTCTGCGTGTGGTCCTCTGTCTGAGACTCTATGTGCTGGGTCCTCTGCGTGTGGTCCTCTGTGTGAGACTCTATGTGTTGGGCCCTCTGCGTGTGGTCCTCTGTGAGAGACCCTATGTGTTGGGCCCTCTGCGTGTGGTCCTCTGTGTGAGACTCTATGTGCTGGGTCCTCTGCGTGTGGTCCTCTGTGTGAGACTCTATGTGCTGGGTCCTCTGCATCATATTCTATGCGTTGGGTCCTCTGTGTGAGGTTGTCTGTGTCAGATTCTATGCGTTGGGTCCTCTGTGTGAGGTTGTCTGTGTCAGATTCTATGCGTTGGGTCCTCTGTGTGAGGTTGTCTGTGTCAGATTCTATGCGTTGGGTCCTCTGTGTGAGGTTGTCTGTGTCAGACTCTATGCGTTGGGTCCTCTGTGTGAGGTTGTCTGTGTCAGATTCTATGTGTTGGGTCCTCTGTGTGAGGTTGTCTGTGTCAGATTCTATGCGTTGGGTCCTCTGTGTGAGGTTGTCTGTGTCAGATTCTATGCGTTGGGTCCTCTGCCTTGGGTCCTCTGTGTAATAATAATGAGAATATTTATAACGCGCCTTATCCAGGCTAGATATCCTGCTAGATAAGCGCACAATCTGATCATTATTACCCGGATAACCCAAGCTGCCTGTTTGGCGCTACAAGGTTAACAGTCTCACGAGTTGTTTCACCGGGTACCCATTTTCTGCTGGGTCAACAGAGGCAATTTTGAAGAAACTCACTTACCTAAAGTGAGACCACATGTATCACATGTGCTTCGTTGTGGGGCAGGACTGAAGTTCTAGAAACTCTCAGGAGTCGAGCTGCTAAACACGATCACCCATCCAAGGACTCTCTATGGTACCATCTGTGTTCCACATATCAGATAATCTTTATTTGATAATACGTGTTTTGCTTCTGTAATATTATATATGCAGTACAGTAGTAACGAAGAACTGTAATAATTAACACACGGCCACCCGTCCAATGACTCTCCGCGCCCACCGCTGCTTAACTCCAACTGATTTGTGGCCTGAGCTCAATACACAGGACCACATACCTCTGTAACACTGAGCATCATATGTTACAACAGTGAGGACATTTGCACTTCGGTGATATCATTAAATCTCGCCCAGCTTCCCGTGTAAAGTGACGGATATGATACTGTGCAAATATTTGTATTGTCCAACAAAGCATACAGACAAAGAGCGTGCTTTAGAATAGCCACAGAGTGGACACAGGTCAATGCACGCGCGTGTCAGTTACGGCCAGATTGCGTGTGGAGGTGTCGGTGTCCAGCAGACCTTTACCTGTTGGCGACCAGTGTCTACAGTCACTGCCATGATGGCTTGATAGGCCTTGGTATGTTCCCCTTGACATCGTGACTCATACCCTCACACACACGCAAGCAGTTTCTAAATGTCTCTCAAAGAAGTTAGGTTCAAGAGAGTTGGAAGACCGACTTCCAAAACCAAACCTAAACATACAAGCCCAACATTACCCACAGATGACTATGCTTGATGTTGCTAACTCAAGACGTTGTTTATATCTGAAATCACACAGATTCCAACGCAAGTTTTAACCCGGAGCAGCCTATATTTGTATGTTTAAAATAAATGAGGAAGTTTGTTTGGAGTATTGGTTGATGTGCTGTATACCCTGGGGCTCGCCTTTGCGTGTGTTTATGATTAGTTTCACCGGTGTGACTAAATGCTCTTACCATTTCCCGAACAATTCCCAGTATTTCATTACATATATAAACACATACCTGAGTGTAGTCGTAAGCGTACAAGGGGCGGTGAGGTAGCCTAGTGGTTAAGGCGTTCGCTCGTCACGCCAAAGACCCGGGTTCGATTCCCCACATGGGTACAATGTGTTAAGCCCATTTCTGGTGTCCCCCGCCGTGATATTGCTGGAATATTGCTAAAAGCGGCGTAAAACTAAAGTCACTCACTCACTCACTCGTAAGCGTACAGTCGACTCTGATTTTACAAATGATCTCTATCACTACTATTTACTGTTATGGCGACATCCACAGAAGCTTCACTATAGGATGTGAGTTAACAACAATGCATACAGAACGCAACCATATAACTCACATGTATGTGTTGTTGGCTGTTTGAAGAAACTGATTAAATTAAATTTCTCAAAATTAATGCTGTTAATTTAAATGTGGGAATAACCCCAGACTTTTAGAATTGCAGCTGTAGACTGTACTGATTTGATCGCCGTAACATCTACTTCTATTATGGCGTCAGAAGTAAGATAATGTTTGTCAAACTGCAAATTTATATAAAGGCTACAAAACACCTGTCCAAAAGAATCAACCAAACACCAGTCAAAAGAAATATGTCGTGGGAATGTGTCTGTGTGTATTAATCATAGCGTGCGTCTCTGCGTGTCTCGTGTGAAGCTCATGCATGGTGTCCCCCGCCGTGATGTTGCTGGAATATTGCTAAAAGTGGCTAAATCTAAACTCACTCACTCTGTGTGTCGCATTGTGTGAGTAAATATGTGTGGGGAGGGATGTGGGGGTGGTTGGGGATGTAGGGGTAAGAGGTACATCAAACGTTAGGAAGAACATGTCAGAATAGATTGTAGACATATAAGCTACGTTTTATTTGATGAAAACCTTCATATTTTCCTCTACATTACAGTGATGATACTTACACACAAATAATGTCAATAGTCACACCCGTAGACTACCATGGCGACGTGTAATCATGAACCAGATTCATCAGATACCATTCTGCTGAGGAACCCTGCTTGTGTTGATATGTGTGTAAGTTTGATCATGTGTAAGTATTTACAACATATACTGCAAATGGATCAACGATTTTTCATGTGGACTAAATAAATACCAAGGCCATAACTTACAGATATTTAAACTACACCTGTAAATAGACATCCACAAATTAATGTGCATGTTGTTTGTGAGCCGACTTAGTGCCGTAATACTAGTGTTGCCAATAGCAACAACGTTCGGTTGTCTTACCACCTGAAAAGGAAAATCAGGATTTTATTTTAGATCAGGATTGTATATCGTTTAGAAATGCAATATTTCATCTGAAACCATTGTACGAGTTTAAAATCGCCTATTCGTAGTTTATTTTTAAGACATTTGATTTAAAAAATGAATTTAACGCATTCTTCCATGCTTTTATGTTTTCCTAAGTCAGCGCTCGTCAACAGCAACGACTCAACGACGACAATGATAAATAAGAAGTATATGTTCATATGGCTGGTACATGACCGGGGTTGGTAACACTACCGCCAGATGACTCATAGTTCCTATGGCTTTCTGTTTGTCACTGTCCTCAGCAAAACAACGACGAACCTTAAAGGTGTACTGATTTAAAAAGAAGAGCTGAAATGACCGTGATTTAAACTGATTAAATCATAATAGCATATTCCTTTTTATACGATTACAAACTTTAGAGACTAATGTAATTGTGTAATGACATTTGAAGTGATTATGTATACATAAAATGCCATCTCTACAATGAGTATATTTGGTTTCTGAATAGTCTTATATTCGATTCACAATCATCAGTTCATACATGTGTGCAAACCTACACTAGCATATCAACTAGGAAAATACATTTTGCTTATGGGGTAAAAAGTTTTCTATTACATCGCTCCTATTCACTATGCTCACAACAACGCCCACATACGAAAGCAGTCATCATGTACGTAAACAGTATTATTTCAACAGGTACACGTGTACTAACATCCACTGAACAGGTATGCTTATGAGTACACATGTACTTACAGATATACATCAGTATATTTAACAGAAGCTGTTTGTCATAGGGAAGAATGTTCTAGAGGTAAATTCTTGTGATTGATCTTTGTACTAGGCAGAGTTGGATCAAAATTTCAAAATGAATAGGGAAGCGTTCTTTTCAGTTGTAGAGAGGTCAGAAAGTGTCTATTACCATGTTCACATGCCTGCCTATTCTTATGTAAGTATATGTGCACAGATAAGTATATTTACTTGTAGAGCGCAAACGGTTCGTGTGAAAGCATCATTACGTCTAGAGTGTATTTACACTAGCAGAAGAAGTCATGTAAAACGATATCTGCTCAAAAATAAATTAACGTGCTATGTACTTTGTACGAACAAATCCTTTGCGTAGATTTGTAGCTGCGTCATGTGACATGCGTAGCTTGTGATATGGGAAAGCATCAGTAGTAGAACGAGTCCTCAAACCTTAACTTCTGGTCGTACAGGTAACTGACCTGGATCGACTGTCGAGACTATGACATGTTTGAATGTGTGTCGTCGTGAAGCGACGTCGTAGGACGTTGCTGGTAGTATCGGACACCGTCTGTTTGGTTCTGGTTCCGTCGGGCACATGACGATATCTTAAAACTGAAAATGGCTGACTTTGACGTTAAATACATAAATACAAAACACAAAACAAGGTGTTCACGTGTCAAGAAATGCCATAAGACAGTTATTCATGCAAACACTTAGAATTGATAAATTTAATTACAAATACAAGTTAACTCCAATTTCAAAGATACGTAAGAAAATATCCACCACCCCTTTATGCCAATAAGAACATTTTTCATAAAGCAACTTAGAAAAGCTGCTCATATACATAATCTTCTTGTTAATTCATGTGCCCCAAAATCAAGAAGCGAGCAAGTACGGTTACACAAATATACACTGCTTGGGCAATGTTACACACCAACCAACGTTACCCATGGATGCAGTTGCATTTGTAAACACTTAATACTTCATACAGTATGAACAGGGCCTGGGTTATTCGACAGGTTAGATCCCATCCAATATTCATGTATAGTTTTTTTCTTTCCTGATGTCAACAAGCAGACAAGCCCGAGTCACACTTCTTCAAATATAACTGAGCGAAAACGTACCAAACAATGGTATCCTTTTCATAAAATATGTTTTCTACCACTCTACAAAACTAATACGTATTGCCACTTCAAACAGGTTTCCCATTGCTGTTCCAAACTAACAATTAAAGAACAAAACTGTCCGGGGTAAGGTAGGGGCGGTGAGGCAGCCTAGTGGTTAAAGCGTTCACTCGTCACGCTGAATAACCCGGGTTCGATTCCCCACATGGGTACAATGTGTGAAGCCCATTTCTGGGGTCCTCCGCCGTGATATTGCTGGAATATTGCTTAAAGCGGCGTAAAACTAAACTCACTCACTTCTGTAACATATTGCTTCACCTATCATAAAAA